ATAATCCGATATAAATAAGTTTTACTATAATACTTAATTAGTATTTAGCGATTATATTATCTAGTCTTAGATAGTATAGTATGCTTATCTTACTAGATACTAGATATACTTATTTATTTAGTTAATAAGTGATTAGTAATTAGAAATTATTAATATACTATAGAGTTAGACGCTTTATATAAAGCAGATTAGTATTATAATAAAATATATAAATAAAGTAATTAGAGTATTATAATATAAAGCGAATCAAATTTTATATAATCTTCAATTAGCTAACTAGAGAGCTCTAAAAAGTGAAAGAAATAAGAGATTATAAAAAATGAGATTATTTAAAGAGCGATAACTAGATCAATTAAGTCATTATTTTACTCCACTAAATATTGCATTATATAAAGCAGTTAGTATTATATATAAAGCCAAATTTTTTGCTTTATTTATAATATTATAATGGCAAAAGTGCCCAACCCTAATACACTGATACACGGTATTGTATTACTACCTCATGGGAATTTTCAGCCACCGCTTTTTGCAGACCGGGTCTAAATGGGGTTATGCGGTGGGGGGTTTGGTGGTGGTTGGTTACGGTAATTGGCTTACTGGTCCTGGTCCCCTGTGACGCTAAGGAGTAAGGAGTATTGGTAGTGCTACGATAAAAAAAAAAGTTTTTTGGGGCTTTCTTCTTTTTTCTTTCACCGGGGATGGATGGGGATTGGTTTGGTTTAGGTTGATGGGGTTGTTAGTGATAGGTTGATTGGGTTGTTAGTGATGTTTGATAGGTATTATTTATTATTTCGATGGATTTGATGTGAATTGGGTGGGTGGCTTTAATTAGATGAACTGATGTTGTTATACTTTAGGGGTCAGAGATAGATATATCTTTTAGGAGCACTAGTAATGAGCAACTAGAAACATATCGAGAATCTCAACGGGTCTCAACGGTTTAACTACTGAGTAATAAATGATCAATACTTTGTATATAGATTAAGTAATTCCAATTCATTTATTATCTCCTTATTTACCGGTAGATTATTTCGGTTCAAATCTCCAATATCAATATCGTATATTATCAGCAATCAATCAGCCATATCAAAATATCCACTTTCAAAGTAACCGGTAAGCACACTCTACTCTCTCTCTCACTCGACGAACCAATGCTCTACCTACTGTACATCTCCTATCACGATTTCGGTTATGCGACTTACTCCCGGCTCCAATTATTCTTTAATTTGCAGCCTCTCATTATCGAGTTAGCTTGGATCCTCTTCTCTATTAGCCTCTTAATATTGGTGAAGTCTTGTTCTCCCGTCGCCTCCATGTTTAACTTTCCTAGCTACCTACCCTGATTTGAAGGATTCCCGCGTTAAACTTTCTCTAGGACCTACTGCTACTGCTATTATAACTTCTTTTTGGTGACTTTACTCACCTCACTACCTCAATTTCCCTTCTAACCATACCCATATCATATACCTACCCTTACCCTACCTAAAATTATTAATCACCGACCCCCCTACGAGATCCCCCCCCCCCCCTACCTCTTCTAGGGTCCTACTCGAGTAAACATATCTTTAATCTACATTACATTCAAACTACAGTGTAACCTGTACTTTTACTAGTTATCCCCATGAAGTAGAACCTATCACACTAAAGTACTATTTACTTACCGGTACTCAATCCTACACGGCTGACTCAATTCAATCCTTCATCACTCGACTCAACCTTCAACCTTCACCTTACTCAACCCTTCACATCATATCCGTCAGAAGGAAACCCCCTTCTTCCCTCCCCTCCCCCCTCCCCCCCCCCCCCAAGAAAAGCACGATCCTCTTCTGTGCACAAACTTGTTCTACATTCATTAATAAGAGAATAATAAGAAGAAAGGATCAGAGTTTCTTTGTCCGAGCGATCATCTCTTCTCATCTAAACCTTCATCAACATTCTTTTTCGTACAGAAGTACAGTATATCACTTCAATCATCAACTTCAATTAAGTGAAATATTCAGACTGGTCTGATCTAAAGAAGCGAAAAAAAGGAGATATACGAAAAGAAGAGCGAGAAAAGGGAAAACAAAAAGAACAACATAGGAAAGAAAAAGAGATCAATCCATTCATTTACCAAAAGAATTCGCCTGTACCGATACTTTCACCTGTTACCAAAATTCAATAACGGATCTGTACAAATCTCCAATTATCTTCCGTCCCGTCATCGGTTTAATTATTTTATCAATCTCTCCAGATTCAGCGAAATACCAATTGTCGTTTGACCTTCCTTCTCAACCTTCAATCTTTACAACCTTTTTTACATCTGCCATTCCGTAAGAAAGGATAATAAACAACTTCGATAATAATCAATAACTTTACGAATACAAAAGGATTAATTAATTCTTTGAGTCTTTTTTTTTCTTTCTTTTTAACTTAAAATCTAAAATACAATCCTACAACACGCAATCTCGAACCATCAATCTTTCGATTTCCATCGAAACTCTTATCAACTCTTCTTTTACAGGGACAGCACCTTGTCGCGCAATCCATATTTCAAATATCTAAACTACTACTTTTACGTTTCGACATCGATAAGCAACTCGAAGCTTTTCTTAAGGGGTTCAAGTTGAATGACAACTGCATAAATTCATTTTAATCATTCAAAGATGGCTTCAAAGGTAAGCAACGAACGATCTTCTATTGCATTTCTATCATCTCGGAGATAGCTTGATGATTGAAGAATCAATTGACTGACTTGCGATTCTTTAATATAGTTTTTGAGAGAATATAAGCTGGTGGTAGTAGGTGGTGGTGGAGTGGGAAAATCTTGTTTGACAATTCAATTGATTCAAAGTCATTTCGTCGATGAATATGATCCTACTATTGAAGGTAAAGAATCCCATCTTCTATTATCGCGTGGCTTGACTAACATGTTCTTTCTTCTATCGATTTAGATTCATATCGTAAGCAATGCGTTATCGATGAAGAGGTCGCGTTACTGGATGTACTCGATACCGCTGGACAAGAAGAATACTCGGCCATGAGAGAACAATATATGCGTACGGGAGAAGGTTTCCTGTTGGTATACAGCATTACCAGCAGACAAAGTTTCGAAGAGATCATGACGTTTCAACAACAAATTTTAAGGGTCAAGGACAAGGATTACTTCCCCATTATCGTCGTTGGTAACAAGTGTGATTTGGAGGGCGAGAGACAAGTTTCAAAACAAGGTATGTCATGTTCATTCGAGATTTATATTTTGGGTTCCGATGTCGCAGGCTACATACAACATGTAGGACAGAGAGTACAGAATGTTGAGCTAATCATAATTCAACAGAGGGTCAACAATTGGCAGATAACTTTGGATGTAAATTCATCGAGACCTCGGCGAAATCAAGAATCAACGTCGATAATGCTTTCTACGACATCGTCCGCGAAATTAGACGTTATAATAAGGAAATGGCGGGTTACACAGCTGGTGGTGCTAATGCAAATAATGGTGGACCACAAGGAAAGATGGAGGTTGGTGAGGGTGAGAAGGAAGGTGGATGTTGTGGGGGTTGTATTATCATGTAAGGGGTGATGGTGATGAAGATGAGGTGAGAGGATATATGAATGGGTGGATGATGTTGGGCGTCTATCATGGTACTTGGGGATGATAGATGTTGTGACATTTGGGAAGGAAAGATACCAAACAAATTCTAAAGTGGATGGATGGATGGTTGGATGGATTGACCATACGAGTGGATCTTTGAAGATACAATGGATATTGACATGGGATGGTATGGATGGGATTTGACCGATAAAGATGATGGTAATTTTTGGGGCTCTGCTGCTGTGTACACACATTGGCAATGGGGCGAATCTTCGTTTGTACACGAAGAAATGGGAGAGGAGGTGATGAAAGGAGCTTACAAATACTTCGGCCTGTTTCTTCCTTCTACGTATTCTGGGAGGATAAATAGTTGTTTGATGGTGTGGATGGGAGCTGGATAGATGGTGGATGTGTTTTGGGGAGAGGGCGAGAAAGGAGGGAAAGGGGGGGAGAGATCTTCTAAGTTTGGCCTTTTTTTTATAATGATACTCCTTTTTAAATGTTATGGGGATGTTTTGATGATTGATTAGAGTTGTGTGTATATTTAAAGTGATGTATATCTTCTATTGTTCATCTTGATTTGTTTTTATTGGGGCTCTAAGGGGAATGAATGGAATGGGAAAAGAATGAGGTTAGGGACTCTCTTCTCATTTCTCTGCTCTCTACTCAACTTCCAATCCATCAAATCACTTTACACAAACAATTTGTACACTTAAGCATATATTCAAATACTCAAATTATTGCTAATATTACCATCTTAGTACAACCGATGAACCATCTGGCAGTTATATATCTCTAGATATATACAACTTCCTTACATGACGCACATGCCCATAGAGCTGTCCTTTTACCAAGGGGTCTCGTATCACATCCATTACATTTAAGAAGATCTTTTCTCGTCAACCAATTCCTTACAGCGAGAGATCTTTCCATTACATCGTTGATAGCTTCATCACGATGTCTTCCACATAACCATGACTTTCTTATTTGAGAAGTACAGGTACAGTACTCTTTTCTGAATCCTGGATTAACCCTTGCTGCTCTAGTTCGTGGTCTTTGTTGCCCGGTGCATTCGTCACAGTAAAATAATTTGGTAGAATTAATCACGGTTTGTTGTGCATCCGCCACTCGAACATTCTGATCTTTGTGACAAGGCACACAGGGGATGCCATTCACCACCTTCGATGCCGTGCTGAAGGTAATCGCAGTGTTTGGCCGGAGATTTGAAGCAGATATCTACTCCCACTACTTCGTCACAGTGTTTGTTTTTCATGATGCCTTTCAAATTTTGTTCCCATTCTCGTCGGTAATCGGAGAGTGGTAATCCTTTCAAGGATGGATCGGGATCCGGATCCTCTTGTGCTGCGGCGGCCTCGAATCCCGAGCGTCGTCGTTCAACTGCTTCCAAAACTCCATCTATACCGTCATCGGGGTAGTCCGGTCTTTCAACACTGTATTCGGGCGCTGGTAAAAAATCCGCAAAATCCATACCTTCTCCTCCGAAGGTTTGGTCGCTATAGAATGCCACATCACCGAATGGTTCGGCGGTGAATTCAGGACCTGTTGGAGCAAGACTGGTATACGACGCATCGGGTTCTACAACTACACCCAAACGATTGTATGACGGGCCGCCTGGGGTGGGTTGGTAAGGTTCCATGGCTAAAAGACTATTATCCGCATTCCCTTGGAAAAAGCTATTTTGATTACCGGCCTCGATTGAGTCCTGTATTACTGCTGAGCTGTAATTCATCATGGGACCAAGATCCATAGATTCAATTGCTTTTTTAGCAGCTTCAGGTGTGTCGACCAAATTCTCCCATTCAACATCAAAACTGGGATCATCTAAATCGACAAACATATCCTCCCAGTCAAATTGCCCTCCTGAAAATGCGGGTTGCAGGGATCCTCCTGCCTCTCGATAGTCGCGTTCCCTATATCGTGAAAAATGGGAGACGGGACTGCACATGTCTTCTGTACCATTGAGTCTACACGTTCCGCATGGTCGTTCGCCATCACAAGGCCTTGATTGATCTTTACAAGGTCTACATTGTATACTAGGAAGGCTTTCAACTTCGGGACTAGCGCTTCTTCTTCGTACATGTCTCTGAGGTTTGCGTGTTCTCGATCGTGTATTGAATGTCGCTCTTTTCTTTCTCAAAAGACTTGCCTTTTCTTGTGCGGAGATGGGTTCTTCATCTTCTTCGTCCTCCTCGTCATCTTCTTCTTCTTCCTCTTCTTCTTCTTCCTCTTCAACCGCTTTTCTCTTCTTGGGTTTCGTTTTCCAGGCAGGTTTCGCCGCATTGGGATCCGCGAGATCGCGAGCAATCTCGCACACAATCCCACGTTGCTTGCAGCGTTCACAAGGTCGAGGAGATCCCACTACTAGTGTACATGGTTTTCTCATGTGCTTACAATACAAACATCGCTTAGGTCTAGGTCCAGGACCTCCAGCAAAAGCTCCCCGATCCTTGGGTGGCATCGCGGGAAGATCCTCATCACTACTATCCTCGGGTAATTCAGGAGTTCCAGGTCGAGGCAAATTATCCCTTTCGGCAATCCGTCTCGCGATCAACAATGCAGTCTTTCTCCTCTTAGCATTTTGAAATTGCCGCGCGGCTTTCTCGGCTCGATACTGTGTGGCATATTCGGGATCAAAGGCTTGATGCGTATGATCCATCTTATTCTTATGCACCTCCTTATCTTTTTCCCATTGTGCCTTGACTTTTCTTCGCGCCGCCAATCGCGCTTTGAATTGTTCCGGCGTGTCAGTAGCTTGTTTGGCCGTCGTCGGGAATGAATAGGGTCGTGCGCGCAACTCGCTATTCTCTATCCCGAGAGCCTTTCGCGAAGTCACAACTCGCGTTCTCCAGGCCGTTATCGTTTCATTGGGTTTTCGGGGTCCTTCGTCTATCGCTTCGATATTGGGATGCTGTGAGAAATCTCCACTCTCAAGTTGTTTGATCAGTCCGACGTCAAAAACTCCTTCGCCAAATGCTCGGGTATCTTTCCAGGTAGGTGGTCCGGGTGGTCGAATCAGATTTTGCTGTTCCCAAACGGTACGTCCGGGTCCCGGTCCAGCTGCTTGTGGTCGTGGTATGTTTGGTTGTTGAGATGGTTGTCCTCTTGCAGGTCTTGGCGTACTCACATTTTGACGCGCGTACTGTTGTTGTTGCTGCTGCTGTGGTTGCTGTTGATATTGATATTGCTGCTGTTGCTGTTGCAACGGTCCAAACTGTTGCGACGGCCCCTGCATCCCCATGCCCATTCCCATCCTCATTCCCATCTCCATCCCCATTCCCATCCCCCCATAATCATAACTCCCCGCCCCCGCCCCCGCCCCCACATCCGCATACCCCTCCCCAAACCCAACCCCCATCATATGCCTCGGCATCAACATCTGGGCAGCCCTTCCCCTCTGCTCCTGCACCGTCGGCGGCCGTTCCCCCCTCCACTCATTGACACCCCGCTCAAACTGCTGCGCCAACGGTATCTGCGTCGGCTGCGGCCCCAACCATCGCGTCTCCCTCTCCGGCACCACCTCTTCGCGCACTATGGGTGCTAGTGCAGCTGGACCACCAAATACATCCCAGGGATTAACAAAAGGCTCCACGACGCGATTGTCATCCGCTATGTTTATATAGGGGCTGATGTATGAGGATGGTGCTTGTGGTTGTGGTTGATGGGAGGGGAAGCCGAGGAATGGATCGGTGGGTTCGGAGAATAGCTGCTGGCTGCTTTGCTGCCAGGGGGGGTGGCCGTCTTCCCAGCCGTTGAAGGGGGTGAAGAGGGGGGTGGAGGGGTCGTGGAATTGAAATTGATCAAAGGGGGTACTGGATTCGCCATGTTGTCCTTGGCCTTGTCCTCTTCCTTGCCCTGCTCCTCCTCCGAAAGACATGGTGAGATTACGATTACGGGTATGGATGGGGTTTAGTTTGATTTAGGGGTTCTCGGTACGGATTCTTAGGCTCTTAGCGATTGGTGATTGGTGTTTGGTATTGGGTGTTTGGTACTCGCTCAGCACCTAACTCACATCGAACAATGCTATTATTTAAGTTCGCGCGAATTATCGAACGGAACGGCTCGGCTGGATGGTGGGTGGATTGATCGAGTATTGGCTAATAGATAATTGATAGGATGATAGGATGATAGGTAGTTCAAATCAGTGCATACGGTGTGGTGGATACGGTACGATGTGTTGTGACATGACATGACATGAAGATGCAAAAGATGATATGTGCGCGAATGGATTGACGAGCGCAGGTTATAGGGATGGGGGTTTTTTACTTGGATTTGGATTTGGATTTGAAGGTGGGATGTGGGATAGGAGGGAGGGGTGTTGAAGATGATTGAAGGGAAAGGATTGTAGACGATTGTTTGGGCATGAGGATGGAAGAGGGGATGGAAGGGGGGGATAAAGAAAGTTGGAGGGGAGCATGGCTGTTTGCGGGTTTTGGGGATTTTGGTTGTGGGGAAAAGGAGTTGAGGGTGAAAGGAGGATAGGATAAGCGAGTTGGTACTTGGATTTGGATTTGGATTTGGACTTGGATTTGGATTTGAATCTGAGCTTAAAGCAAGAAGTATAAAGAAAACTTCGAATTAATCTCCTGGGCTTGGGGGAGGAGATGGAGATGGATATGGAGATGGGAATGGATATGAAAGATGGGTTTGACAGTCTGACTCGAATTGTGAGGATTTTGAGGAATCACTGGCAGGATATGAGATATTTGTAAGTGTAATTGAGTATAGTGTAATTGGTATGAAGGTTTCTGATGATTCTGATTGGATTGATTTACTCAAGTACGTATTTTAGATGTTGTTAATACGAGTGAGTGAGTGAGTATAGAGAATAGAGTATTAAATTGAATTGGGGGTTTTTTACATTAATTAATTATATGTAGAATAGAATAGAATTGAATAGAATGTTGATGCTAATATCTTAATATCTAATAGATAGATAAATAAATAATATTTAATACTCAACTTGTATCTCTTCTAAATCTTTATCTTCTCATCTCTATCTCCTTATTCTTATCCTTACTTATATCTTAGAATTTCATATTATTTCATACTGTACAAAATCACATCTCAAATCTCAAATCTCAAATCCAAATATAGACTTGGAAAAGCCTCTATTAGTTCAAGTTCAAGTTCAAATTCAAATTCAAATTCAATATAACAATATAAAATAAAACGTCGATAAAAGGACTAATAGAAAGATTATTATGTAAAAGGGAGAGATACTGTATGAGTAAAGATACGAGTTGAGAGAAGAATCATCATGATATAATCTACGAGCTACGAGCTACGAGCAATGAAATTGAAATCAAGTAATAGAAAGAAAGAAAGAAAGAAAGAATGAATGAATGAATGAATGAATGAATGAGATATTGAATAAGAAAATGAATAAATCAAGGAATGGAATACATAAAGTAAATAAAGAAAGTGATTTAGAAAAGTTATTGAAAGAGTTAACAAAGGAACTATTTCAAGGAAGTAATTGAGTATCCGAAGTCCAAGCAAACGAATGAATGGACAAAGACTTGAAGAAATTGCTAGTGATAGATACTATCCCTATATCTGTATCTGTATCTAAACTCGGTATTCGATACTTAGTTCCTCAAGTCCCTATACAAATTCTCCAAAACTCACACTGGCATCCGACCCCCTATATCCCTCCCATCCACATCCCATATATAAATTAATCATAAAATCAAATTCCAAAGCTTCCTTTCCTTTTTAATTCGAGTCTTGAAGAAATCCTCTAAGCATATCATTCATTCATTCATTTCAATTGATACACATTCTCTATATATATATCTTATATGGAAATCCCCTCCTCTCCCTCCTCTCCCTCCACTTATTTTCTATTTCTCTTTTCCACCTCTCCTTTCCACCCCCAAAATCATTCCTTTCTTCCTTTCCTTATCTACTTACTCAAAATTCCCATCTTGAAGTTTGAGAACTCACTTATACCTTATACAGTTGTACTAACACTGACACTGGCAAACACTCTCACTAGCATTTCTGGTGGAAACTAATATTCTAATGCTCGTAGTTACTTGATTTGTATATCGAATACTGTATACACGAATCGAGTAAGAAGAATAAGAAGAATAAGAAAGTATAAGTATTTTCGCTTTTCTGATTATCTCCTCTCTGATTTCTGATTATCAAATTATGTGGAGATGAATGGGCTTTACGAGACAAGAGACAAGAGACAAGAAACAGGAAACAGAAAACAGGAGATCAATAGGAAACAGAAAGCAGATCATCAGGGTGATCTACTCATATAATTAGACATGTCCGCGCTTAATTCTACTCATTATCAAAAAAAAGATTATACTGAGGTATATATATATATCTATTCCTAACCCAATCAGCTATGATATATTTTTTATCTTTCTCAAGGATTGACTCTGCATTTAACAAATCACAACACAACACAATACATAAACACATACCAGAAGCAAGATCTCGGAGTATAATAAGAGTAATTGAGAGATATATTCAAAGTTCCACTATCCCTTCTCCCCTTACTTAACTGGCGCACCCCTTTTCCTCCCATTCAAAAATCAAACCAGCTAGCCGGCCCAGTATTCTAAACCTATACCAGTACAGAGAACTAAACCCCATATATAAACACAATCCCTCAATCACTCAACCACCCAACCATCCATCCAACCAACTAAAACTAAACCAAAAAAAAACCCCCCATCACCACCACAACAACATCAAAAAGACAAAAGAATTAATTCCGGTACGGGGAATTGAACCCCGGTCCCCCGCGCGCTTTCAATTATGAATGAGAGGCGGAAATGCTAGCCACTACACCATGCCGGATGTTTCATTGTATTTGATGAATGTGTGAACGTTGCTTAGATATATTGCTAATATGTGGGGCTTGAAAACTTTGCTGAAAGAGTTTTGCTCCTAAGCGAAAGGGAGGGAGAACTTATAGTGAGGGTGAATGGGGAAGGGAGGTTTTTTGGGATGAGATGTACAGAAGAATGTCGCCGAGGGTATTGTGTTGATGTGATTCGTGCCCACTGCCCAGGGATATTTATTGTGTTTTAGTGAGTACTAAAGAAAGAACTTATGAAAAAAAGTGAACTCTATACCCAGAGATTCGAGGAGATAACATGATTCAGAGAAGACCAATTCCGGCAGACATTATATAAAAAGGGTATGAGACAATAGCATAAAATAAGATCATTTCTTTGAGAAACTCTTCTCTTTGAAGGCCCAGGAAACAAATAAACATACTCCATTTGTTAAAAGAGCGTTTTAATTTGTTCGTGGATACATAGGTGTGAACACAAAGTAGGACTCCCTACCCAAATTAATTTAACTACATTAAACAACAAAAAAAGAATACGAATGAACTTGGCCCTCCCTACTATACTTGATAAAATATATACCAGATCCCCCCCAAAAACAAAGAAATGACTTCATTCCTAACAAAACATTTACAAATGCAAAAGTATGAAACATGAAAGAAAAAGGCAAAAAGAAATGCAACCCTATTACCCCAGCTTTGAACCGAGTATGGAAGGAAGGATGTTCATGAATGAACCTCCTAATAGGAATCGAACCAATATCTCCGGAATCAAAATCCGACGTGCTAACCATTACACCATAGGAGGGATGCTTGCTTGTTGATGTAAGTCTCCGTGTAATTTGAGTATCTATGTGCGGCTGTCAATGACGAAAAGACTTTTTTGCCTTCTATGATTTTGGTGGTGGGGCGGAAGCTCAGGTTTGGACCATAAATATAGCGAGTAGTGGGGATGAATGGACTCGGACGCTTTCGGGTGGGATATTTGTGGGGATGAAACGGGACGGATATATCGGGACTTTTCCGGGGTCAGAAACGGGAGCTAAAAGATTCTGTGAGCATTGTTATTCAACTGGAGGAAAACTGACAAGAGAAGAGAGATCTAAGGATATCTGATATTGCCTCTTTGCAGTAGGATATCATATTCACCCCATGTTCTATGTAATCGTCTATATATCCCCACGTTGTAAAGTTCGGTCTAAAGTCTCATGTCTTTTTATACATTGCACCTCCAGCACCAGCCTATTTAAAACTGTCAGTTTACGACTTCTTATGCAGAACCGTAGCTGCAGCCTGCCAATACCTCCATTAGTTATTAATTGCATCAAAGGAATCATGAAACATACCTGATGATTTGGGAAAATCAATGTATCGGCAATAACCACATTTTCTCTTCTTCCGGCAGTGAAAACGACAACTTCCGCGATATCATCCGGTGTCAATGGTTCACATCCGGCATAGACAGCATCTGCCTTTTTCTTATCCCCATTGAATCGGACGACACTGAATTCCGTTTCCACTTGTCCAGGATCAATCTCAATAACTCTTATTCTTGTAGCGATTAATTCCCTTCTCAATGAATCTCCAAAACTTCTAATGGCTGCTTTGGTGGCACAATAGATACTTCCTCCTGGGTATGATTCTCTTCCTGCAATACTGCCAATGTTTATAATATCTCCTTTTCCACCATCGGAACGTGCTTTGAAGATTGGAAGAATGGCTTGAGTCATGTTGATTAATCCAGTTACGTTTGTTGAGAACATTGTGTTAATATCTTCTTCGGCGATAGAGGGGGCTTGTGCTACTCCTTTTACTAGACCACTGAATGGACAATGTTGTTAGCAGATGTATCTATTTTGTGCGGATTTCCATTGGCAATTGGAAAATGTGAGTAGAGCAACGCCATGGCTTTCAAGGAATCGGAATGATTGCTAGTGCGTGTACCGATAGGATGGAGACATTAACAGCAGATTGAGATGATGAGGATGAAGACCCTCGGAGTTATCATAATCAAGCCCATTGTCAGTCCTCGGAGTTTAAAAGCACTCACGCGTTATTAACCAAAACATCAATCTCCCTCCACTCCTCCGGCAAACTCTCAACAAAGCCCCTCACCTCCTCAGGTTTACTAACATCCAACTTCACAGCCAAAACCTTCACACCTTCACCACATTCCTTCTCAATATCCTTCTTCACTTCCTCAAGAACATCAATTCTTCTCGCTGTCAGGATCAATCTCAAATCTTTAGGAGATGTTCTTGCAAATTCCAAAGCGGTACTTCTGCCAATTCCTGAAGAGGCACCAGTTATAACAATGGTTTTACCCTCGAGACGTTTGGACATTGCGGAGGACATGTTGCGTTTATAAAGGTGCGGATGGAAGATTTGAGATGGAGAAGGAGAAGGAGTTTTGAGGAATGATTTGAAAGTTCGTAGGAATAGAGGAGAAGGTTTATGATAGATTGGCATACGTAAAATCGGGTTAAATATAGTTAATTGAGGAGAGGAAAGAGGATTCAGAATATTGGGGAGTCAGAGATAAGGGGAGAGAGCACCGAGGGAGAAGTGGAGGTTTGGTGGGTTTGATAGCTGTGAGCTTTGATCTTACCCCACATTTCGGAGATAAGACGGGATTGCGTCAATTGAGGTCAAGAATTGCACATCTACATCTATAATTATTTCAACAACACCAACACCAACATTCAACATTCAACATTCAACATCAAAGATTGACATCAATTCAATGACTTAGGACATCAATTACAGTTTGACCTTGGCTTCACGCTCAATTATGGCCTATACTGATACAGAGCAAGCATTCGAACCGTCAATGTTATGATGTTGCTTGGAAAGCGATGCGTTTGTTCCTTGGAATCGAGATATTGCTGCAACGATCTATGTATAGAAGTATACATATGAAAACAATGAAGACTTGAGAATGCTTTTGAGTATTGAAGTCACAGGAGATGAATACTCGAGGTTTGTGAATGTATTGAGGATATATGAGTTCGGCACGGATTTCTCAACTAAATCTTACTTCTACGTTCTCATGAGTAATATCTCGCAGGACGAGTGAATGGTATCGGCGTACTAAGCAAATCAAGCGATGTGCCGTGCCTATCTCGTCCCTTTTTAGTCCTTTGGTGCAGTATGGCGCCACGCCAAAACAGACTAACGAGGTATTGGTAAGTTATCTGTACAGTTCCACCGACCGTTCTTCTGGAATTTGATAATCACGACAACAAGGTCAAGATTTTGGTTATGGCTTCTTCAAAAGACGACGGAATTTCCGATGATATGGAGATAAGTGTGGTCGCAGATACACCAAACGTGGCATCGACGGATACGCCATTTTTACCTCCTGCAGGTACTTGGGATGTTGGAGATATTCTCCCAAAGAAAGATAAGAAATGTATGATCTTAGGAAGTGATCAGGAATGGCATGAAGATAAAGGACCATCTCATTATGTTTTGGACTTTGACCGCGCTCTAGGCATCAGTGGCACAGAGTTTTACAGGTATGCATCTTTAGAACTTATAACTTTAGGAAAAGTGCTTAATCAGAGATACTTCTAGGAGGAATGAGTACTGGTCTGGATACAGAAAGGAACTGGAAGTTGACGAGTGTATATGTGGATATATACGTTGGGAAGAGTCAGCCTTGGATCAGGAATGGAACAAATACAAAATAAGTAGCGAAGATGAAATGAAGCTCAGGACATTTGTAGAGAGGATGTCGAAAGGGAACGTAAAACCAACAAATGTGGTTTGTTTTGCGTTAGGATCTCTGCATCGTCCCAATCCCCCGCGAAAAAGATCTTTCGAGCAGTTGGCAGTGCTTTTGAAACTCATGGAGATTTTAGGCAGGTATTTCGCATTCAATTGGTTAAAAATGAATGCTAACACACTCGCAGAGATCCCTCCGAACGCTAGGAAAGCGATGCAAGATCCAGATTTTATTCGTCGAGATGCGAGATTCTTCGCAAAATTTGGGCTTGAAACGGTGATGGATCCTCAAGGATTCGATGCCATTAACGAAGAAACACTGGTCTTTCATGTCGGTGGCTATCGCTATATAGACGAAAGAGCTATAGATCGACCTTGGCCTGCGATGTTCATCAACATATGGAAGTTGTACGACGAAGGCAAGATATTATTGAACAAGAGCAAAGTCAGGAAGGCAATCCTGAGATGGTTCAACACTATGAGAGGCAAACCGCAACCCACAACGCAGCGTACGGATACACCTTCAAAATTCAACGCGAGGGAAGAAATCAGGATCTGGTGGCAAGATAAGAAGAGAATCGCAAAGATTCGCGAAACGTATCAAGTAGAGAAGATTCCTAAAGTGGGCACATGCGACAGTATGAGCCAAACTCAGCTCTTCTGCAGAAAAGAGATGATGGTACGAGGAAGCTTCTGGTGGTTGGGATACGCAGCAAAACTGCTATGGGCAATTTTTATGGACGCAAATTATGATTGATGATTGATGATCATGATCATGTTGTGGGATGGGATGGGACTTACTATCGCGATGGAGCGATACTTTGTTACTATTCGAGTAGATACTGGATGCAAGATACTAGATACTAGACACTCTCGGCAGAATAGGATAGAAAATAGGACGCGCTGATTTATCTATACTTACACATACGAAATTGGATATTGATGACTACTGGAGTATATTATAGCCTCGTTGAATACTGGTATCCTTCCAAATTCCAGCCAGTAGTATGCAGAGTTCTCTGTAATAGAATTGGGTATCGAGGGATTATATATTTAACTTCATTCGGTTCGGTACTGTACTAAGTCTATTACCCTACTTTCGGGCCACCCTTTCACACCAAAAACAGTGATTTTTGATTTTTATAACTTTTTATTCATTCAATATAATTGAATGAAATTTTAATTATAAATTCTTTATGTTGAAAGTCGTCAGTACAGCAGTGAATCTGGCTGACTAAGCATGATTGCTTATTCCTAGAGCTCTCCTCTCCTCTTCAATCCTTCAACTCTACAACTCAATATCAAGAGATTAAAGAGCCACAACGAACTGTTCCCTAGGTGCATTATAACTTTCAACACTTTATATAATTATCAGATCAGATATAGATTTTCAAAATTTTAGTGATTTTATATAAAAAGTTATAAAGATTTAAAATTCGAATTTTATTTTCAATATAAATAATGAAAAATAATCTATTAATTTTATTAGAATATTTGATAATAAGAAATTTGATAATAAACTTTGAATTTCAAATTATATTATATATTTAAAGTTTTATTAGTAAAAAGATTTTTAATCAAATCTTTAATCAAAATATTTATAATTTTGAACAAAAGATTAAGTATTAATTTTTATTCAAATTAAATTTAGTTTTTATAATAATATATATTCAATTATTGATTAATTTTTGTTGAAAAGTTATTAAGATTTCTAGAATATTTTGAAATTTGTATACAAATTGTATATAAAATGAAAATTTTGATTTTTAAACTTTAATAACTTTTTATATAAAATCATGAAAAATCTGAAAATCTATAGTTGAGCTAATAACTATATAAAGAATCTATATTCAAAATTTCATTTAATTAAATTCGATATTGATAGAATTATGAATATTCGAAAATCACTGTTTTTGATGTAAAAGGGTGGCCCGAAAGTAGGGTAGTAGACTTACACTATACTAGCCACACTTTGAAATACCCTCCAAGTTCCTACCTCTAGAAATGTAAGGTATAGACTCACGACGAGAACAGCCCCATATGGAGTATTCAGTGGAAAGACTTCCAAATCATAGTTAGAAGTACCAGCGCTGGTTATTGCATACTGTACCGATTGACGATTACTCAAGATTACGGTGCCCTATACACAGGAGGAGCCAAGCAACTCAAGAGCAGCAGTGACCTCACCTAGATCAATACTCAATGGATCAGTAGGCTTCGTAAGATCGGAGGGAGCCAAGTAAGCAATGCCGAAGTGGACTTGTTTTCGTAAAGCAGTGTATCTCGTGTTGGCAGGCCAAGCACCAATGGTCAGACGACCATTTTGAGAAGGGTTGTTGAGATAACCTATAAGTTGTGTAGCAGTATCTGTGTTATCCAGTGCAGGAGAGCTTGGATTGAGGTTTTAAAGTCGGATCGCAAGTCGTCAATTGGACAGCTCGAGCAAGAAAGCCAATGGTAGATAAAGCTAAAAGAAAATAACTGGAAGAACGTGCTGTGGAAATCTGGATTCATACACGAATGAGATAGGGCTGAAAAGAGCATCGCCTAATATATCCGGAGGCTGAGTGGACCACTTTAGATCTGAATAAAAAGAGAACTTAAGTTATCATCAACTTGGGGGAACGAGATGCTATCAATAAACATGTATATGTTTCAGATATCTAAACTGCAAAATCGACGAATATCAGAAGTTGAGATAAGAGTCATGCTGTGGAATAAAATGCGACATCCCTCATTACAGATGTTTGTTCCAAGAAAAGTTCAAGTAAAATACCAACGAAGAGCGTAGGAAAACGTACAAGTACAAACCCCAAAAATCGAGAAGATGAGCCTTAGAACTCTTTTATAGTAACGGTTACTCATTAATGTATTTTTCGTAAACAGGGCCATAGAACTTCTTTCCCGCATCTCGGTGACTCCGAACCTTCGTTCTCAATTGAGATTCGCCCCAAGTGTCATACTTTCCACTTAAGAATGGAGAGTCAATACTCTGGCCTTCTTTGGATTCTTTCCTTCCTTGTCTCTTTAATTGCGGCCATAAAGCCTCGAAATCCTTTTTGGTAGCATCACCACGCACCCCTTGGAAAAAAGGTATGCTATATCTATCATATTCACTAGATAACACCCTATGTATCGTAGCTGGACAAACTCCATTTGTAGCGACTTCAAACGCCTGGCCGATGTTGACGACAAATGTGCCGGGGATATTTGGAACGTCAATCCATGCGCCTGAGCGATTCATGGCTTGGAGACCACGGATATGAGGTGGAGAAGCTTGGAGGAGGAATGTCCACCATCCTGATGAATCTTTATGCGGACCTACACCTTGATTGTCACCAGGTGAGATGATAGGGCTATAATGAACGACCTTCAGTCGGTGCTGGGGTGAAAGAAATGTGTGGAGAGATGATGAAGAAATATTCAGTGCTTCCGCAACAAGTGTAAGAAATCTTGTGGAAAGTTCGAGGAGTGATTGGATATATTTTTCAATCACAGGGCAAATCAAGGGAAGTGATGGGGGCCACTATCACGATGTCAGAGGAGGCCAGTGGAATTAACAACCACGTGATAATTACCTGATTTGGCCCAAGGAGTCTTTTGTATAATGGATCTCCTTCCACCCATGATGACTCCAACTCCGTCGCAAACTCAAACTGTTCTCGCTGATCTGATACCTGAGCAGTTTTTTCGGCTCCCATCCCACTGTATCCCAGAAAATGTGGTGATTTCTCCAGGGCTATCGAGTCCTTTTCTCTCTTGGGAATATCGAACAAGTTTGGAAGAACTTTCACGAGTGCATCAATAACATCTGTAGATACTCCATGATTCTTCACGTATAGAAAACCAATATTTAGGAGAATATGTCGAAGCTCTTTCAGAAGCTGTTGCTTCGTGGATGGATCGTCTGCCAAACTAAGGTCCAAGATGGGTATTTCGGAGAAGTTGGTTGACATAGTTTAGACGAGATGAAGTTAAAGTTGTCAATCCATATGATGAATGAGGTGTGGAGCACGTAATTTGAGACGACGGAAGAGTGCTTGCGGTAGAGGCGGCTGGCGGCTAAACTTACCGATCGCATGTTACTCAGTACTCGACTAAACTTTCTATTCTAAGACAAACATCACTTCAAAACACAACAATATCAGTATCTGAATATCCTCAAGGTTTGGAAATTAAGTCAACTACCCCACATATCACGGGGCTGGTGCGGGTTCTGGTGGGTACTAGGTAAGATATATAATATTCGATAAAGAGAGGAGGCACACGGAATAACACTGACTATATGGTAGGTAAATACCTAAGGCATCTGCCCAAGTTAACTAAGAATGGGTAGTGTATATGTAATAGGTGTAGATAGGTATAGGTAGATATAGATAGATATAATTAGGAACATATAATGAATCTATAATAGTATCCTCTCTCTTCAAATCTTATTTGTTCTCAAACAAATATATAATATAATAAATAACATAAAGCCCCTTATTTTCTATAGCAAGTTATATCAAATTATTATTATTGTATATCCTAATTCTTCTGTTTTATTCATTGTCTATTATCAAAATCATAATTATCAAAGATTATCATATAAACATAATTATTGAATCAAACGCTTTTCTTTAATTCGATATTATTAATTCATAGTTTTCTTTTCCTAGTAAAACATTGTAGCCCAGGTTTGATATATAATAATATTTATATAGCTAATACTTTTATTGGGACAAAAGTCCTTTTATAATAAGATTCTAAAGAATCCAGATAGGTAAACTAGGCTTTTCTGGATATAATATATGGTACTTTATCAAAAGCTTTTCGTTTCCTTTCAAATCGGATATCAATTATTAGATTAAAGCATAATATTTCTATTTCATTAGATAATAATGATTTTCTTCATTATAATTATCAAGAATTTCTTCAAAGATTTATTTTTGAATAGATTCTATTTCTTTATCATTATATTCGAAAACTTTATTATAAATGGTTCAGAACTTTGATTTATTAATCTTCTTTTGGCCAGAGAAATGAGACTTTTGGTGAATAGGGATTAATAACGAATAATAAAACATTAGAAAAAATTTC